CCCCATCTTGGAGCACTTTTACAACAAACCAAAGCACTTTTACAACAGCTTAAGCTTCGGAGCGGCATTGGCATCCACTGCTGCTGCGCGCCATGGTGGGACAACCTCCGAGGCCTTGGGCACGGGAACTGTAGCTGCTACAGCTGGTGGCATAGCCTTGGGGGCCACAGGCTGGGCCGGGGGAGCCGGGGCTGCTGGTTCCTTGCTCGGTGAGGCGCTCGGCGATCGCGGGCCGGCTGAGGATTCGTCGTCACTGGAAGTGCTCTCCGGAGAGGAGGTGCGCTGGGCTGCTTCAGGTTCAGCTGCCACAGGAAGGTCGGCCTGCACCGCTGTACTCGGGACCGCCACTTGCGGTAAGGGGATGGTGCTGCTGTGCTGGTGCCGCCGGGCTTTGTGGGTGTGAGAGCGATGCCGTATGTTTTGAGCTTGTCACGAGCGCGCTGGAGTTCACTCTCTTGTTGGTGACGGCGGTCTGTCTGCTGCTTAAGTTTGCGTAGTGCTGTTCCTTCGCCTGCTGGGGGTGTGCTTTCTTATTGAGCTTGAGTGAAGCGAGCTTCTCATCGTCACTGGGCTCCCAGCCGCCGTTGTCAGGATATGGTGGCGATGGTGAACGTGATCCGTCAGGTAGAGGAAGCGGTGGAGGTGTGGTGAGAGGGATGTTGGTGGGTAGTGCAAGTGGTTGTGTGGGTGAGGATGTAGAGCTGTGTAGTGAGAAAGCTGGTTGGGTTTTCTGTTGAGATAGCCGCCGTGTTGTGGGCGACGTGGTCATGTGTTGTGGTGGATTGGGTGGAGAAGGGGGTGGTGAGACTGTTGGTGTAGGTGATGATGAAGGTTCCGGTTTGCAGTGTGAGTGATGGCTGTGGCTGGGGTGGTGTTGATTGGTGAGGGAGAAGGCATGTGGTCGATGGGGGCTGCGGCTGCGGCAAATGGTGAAAGGTGGTGGTGGTGTGGGTGGAGTTGTGGGATTGTGTGGTCTTGAAAGAGGATCCATCGGGTGTGTTGGGGAAGGTTGTGTAGTTGGGTTGAATTGAGGTAGGTTTTGGAGAGGTGTGGTGATAGATGTCGCTGCTTGTAAGTGAGCCAATAGAAGTCTGTGTGCCATTGGCAAGTCCAGCGGAGAAGTCATCATGTCATGGACATTGAACAATGCGCTCGGCGAAAGGTCTGTTACATGAAGCTGAGCGGGGGCTGGCCATCGGCTCGCCAAGCAATTCCTTCAATCTGAACATGCTTCGAATAAACCACCCAGCATTTTCCTGGGGTGTATTTCGCTGTCCCCTCACCACGCAAAAGGAGGTCGTTCGCGGCGGATTCGCCGCCATGGGTGACTTTTTGACCCCTGCCATAGGCCTTCAGTGTTAAAATGCGGCCGCTTCTATTTTTCGACATACTTGAGGCGTTAAACAACACGCGTGCTGCCTCGATCGCATCCTGTTCTTCATTGTTAGAAAGCTCGAAAGCTTGGCAAAAGAAGCCCACGTTGTCTGTATCATGAAGAATGGAGCGAATGATCTCCCCTTCCTGGAGTATTGAAATGATGTTTCCCTCTTCGCTTACGTGTGCAGCGAAGATGTGTTTGATTGCTGGTATGTTTAGTGCTTCACGTCTTGGCGGTGGGAGGGTTGGAGCGTCACCTCTGTCGGCGAGCGCGGGGATGACCAGGACTGTGAACTGTTCCGACTGAGTTTGCTCATTCCACTTTAAGTGGGTCAACAGCTGAATGTCGGTGAAGTGGGAGGAAATGAGATGTGCTGGGGCAAGCACCTTGGATACATAAGAGCTCATTGGCTCGTTGTGAATGTGCATTGAGCGGGAATGTTGGTTGATCCAATTGAAAATTTCAAGTTGATTGGGGTCAGTGGGTCGTCGGAAACGTGGAGGCGGTAGATTGGGAGGTCGGCGCTGTACTGGTACATCAGGTTGAGTGTGTGGGGGTGGAGGTGGTAATGTGGTGGGTGCGCAGGGAGTGGGAGGTGTTGTTGGAGGTGGGCGTGATTGTGGATTGGGTGTGAGTGTGATTGGTTGGGATTGTCGAGGAGGACTGTTTTCCTCACGCTGACGTTTGTGCCGGTGTTGCATGGGTGGTGTGGCAAGGGGTGGAGGCGGTGGCTGGGGAGGTGATGGTTGAAGTGGCTTGTGTAGTGGTACAGGTGGTGGTGGTGGAGGTGGTGGTTGGACCATTGAAGTGGATCTTCTGGTTGTACTTCTGTGTCGAGGTAGTGGCGATCTGGTTCGCGAACGAGACGACGTTCTGGAGGTGGCTGCGTCTGTTACGTATGGAAAGGCTGAGTAACGATGCCTTTCTTGGGTGCGTGGTGGAGATCGCTGTGGATCACGCCAGATGCCTCGGGTGGTTGTAAGTGTAGGTGCAATAGAGGGTGTGGGGCGGCGGGGTCGTTCTGATTGCATGGTAGCTGTTGGTGACAAAGGTGTGTGAGGCTCATCTGTTTGTGAATGTGTGGATGCTCTGGCAGGTTGAATGGGCTGTGATGCAGCTTGTGGAACATGTGAAGCGTTTGTAGTTGCTGTTGCTCCTTGAGCTGGTGCTGAATCTGGAACTGGTGTGGTTGTGGTATGAGGTTGTGGTGATTGTGTTGTAGGTGGTGGGTGTGTGGGAGAAACGTTGTAGGTTGACGCGGGATAAAGTAGATTGGAGTCTGTGTGACTGGGTGCTGGATGTGTAGTGGGAGGTGGTTGTACTGCTGGATGTGGAGGATGTGGCGGATAAGTCTGTGATTGATGTGGTGGTAGCGCAGTAGGGTGTAGATGTTGTGGATGTGGATGAGGGTAAGGCTGTAAATGGTGTGGATGTGGGAAGTATTGTGGTGGAATTGTGGGAGGATATACTTCTGGGTAGTGAGTGATAGGTGGGCTGTGTGTCACCATCGTAACTGGTGGGTGTGGTTGTGTGGGATAGGAGGCCCAGTGTGGATGCATGGGCGGCGGCTGTTGAGGTTGAACTGTTGGCGGCCACACGTATGGCCAGGGATAAGTCATGGCAGTCACTGAAAGCAATGCACTAGCAATTCAATGTGTGTAACATGCAAAAAGCCACAAGATAAAACGTCGACAGAGTAATTTAGAGGAGGTCCTAGGGGAATAATTGAAAAGTTGAAGATTGAAAAATTGAAATGATTGTCGCTTGAAAAGTTGGAACATCTTCCGGGGTGAAACTCATTCAGAACAGGCTTTCAGTGGACTCTGCAGTACGGTTTCACGCGTACAAGGTGAGACGTTTCGGACAGTCTGACTTCGAGCAAGAAAGGTCGAGCAGGAAAATTCAGAAAACGTTCAGAAAATGTACTCCTGCAATGAGGAGAAGAACTTCCACTCAGTAGCGGCGAACCGCAGGGTTCACACAGCTTACCACAGTGGGAAGAAGCTACGAATCACACTTGAGAAGAGTGCTTTGCGGAGCTGCATTTCAGAGATGCGCGGTGAGCATTAACCCTTTAGGTGAATACTTAGCACTTGACTTGATTCAACGGAAAGAAGTGAAAGGTCAAAAAACAGAATGTTTGAACATAAGTGAAACATGAAGTATCAATTAAAAATTTGGCAGGTACGCTGGGATGATCAGTCCCAGTATCACCAAGGCTTAGAGAGTGTCTTCGTTGGTGGTAGACTCTCTGCCTTGCTACCACCCCCTGCTGCTATACAGTTCGCGCAACAAATTGGATGAGAAGGCAGAATAGGGGAATAGATACAGTAGGTTAGTTCCCTTTGGAACAGGGGTTGACATACACGCACTCCCTTGCCGATCGGTGCAAGTGCCCACTCTCCAAAATCCGTGCCCTTTCATGGTCTGAGCTCCCCAGCCCATTCCTCGCCTGCCACCACCAAACCGCTGTGGTAAGCACCTGGCTGAGCCCAACCTAATTGCCCTGCAAGCATCTGAATCGATGAACAAATACTGCACTCGGTTGGATGGGGGATCCTTCAATGGATCCTTCAATCGGTTAAGGCGTTTGGCGCCCGACTAACGATGCAATGATGTCATGAATGCCTTGCCCCATCCCCCCGTTGTTGGGATGGTAGGTTTGCTAGACTGATTCGGTGAGTATATACTTTTTTTGTCGTTGCTGGTGCCAGTGCCGGTGCCAGTGCCGGTGCCGGATGCCGGTGCCGGTGGCTGGCACCGCTGCCCGGCAGCCGCTGCCGGTGCCGGATG